GGGGGGCGAGCCCGCCTCGGGTCGCGCTCCCGCTGCCCCGCCCCGCCCGTCGGAAACGACCGTGCAGGAGCCCTGCTCCCCCTGGAGGGGCTGGGTGGAGACCTAGGAGCGTGTGTTTTTAACAGATGTCCTAACAGAGCTATGCGAATGTGCATGCCGACGTATGTGCACAGACACTGCAGCTAATAGAGCTTCACTGTAGCTTACTGGGGAAGTTTTAGAAACACTAGCAGACCCTTTCTCCCTGCACTTGCGCTGTGACCTTGGGCCATGGAAAGAGCTCTCGGTCACAGCTTCCTCATCTGTAACATGCGTTTATATGAGCGTTTAGTTCAGGCAGTGTACATAAAGCACTTAGCTCAGGTTCAGTAAGTACTCTGTGCTCCATTAACTTAGTGTTTCCTGCTGTGCCTGCGGCCGTGACAGCTCCTCCTCAGGCCTGATGCTAGAATCACCCGGGGACTGTCATAAGGCCAGATTTCAGGTCTTCACAGGCACCTAATGTGGGGAATCTGTGTTTTTTAAGCTTTCCATAAGTCTGTGTTTTGAGAAACATGGATGTAAGTCAGTGATTTTCAACATCCGGTAAACGTAAAAAATATCTTTTCCTTGGTTCCACCTCCAGAGATTCTTACTTAATTGGTTCGCCCCTCCTCCCCGTTGGCATGTTGTAAAACCTTCCCAGGTGATTCTGATCTACCCAAGGTTGTCAACCAACGGCAAGATAAGACCTTGCTCAGTTCATTCAAGACTCGTTGGGATCTTATGTGCCAGGCGCTTTGCTGGGCCTTGGTTATTCTGAGATAAGTGAGACCCAGTTGTCACCCTTAACGAGTGCCCAGTCTTACAGGGCAGAGTGCCAGAGTGAGGTAGTCCTGGTGCAGTGTGTCTAACAGCAGGAACGTGTGCGTAGGTGGACACCCTAGATGAGATGACCTGTAGAGTTGGCGTCTGAGCTGTGCCTTAAAGCACAGGTAGACGTGGGCGGCTTTAGGAGGCAAGAGGGCAGCCCAGGTAGAGGAAACAAAACAACCCCCAGCATGGCCTGTGTGGTGATGTAGGAATGAGATCTAGGCAGAGGAGGAAGGGCCTAGCTTATGGAGGCTCTTTTGTGCCTCATGGAGGAGCTGGGGCTCTGTCATCAGGACCCAGGGGTCCACTGAAGGATTGGAGCCAGAGCGTACTGCCAGGGTTGTGTCTTTAGAAAGATGATTTCTCCTCTGGAGAGCTGAAGGGACAATTCTTTTTAAAATAGATCTTTATTGATTTTAGAGAGGGGAAGGGAAAGGGAGAGAGAGAGAGACACAGAGAGAGAGAGAGAGACACCAATGATGAGAGAGTCATTGACCGGCTGCCTCCTGCAGGCCCCCTCCTGGGGATCGAGCCTGCAACCCTGGGATGTGCCTTGAGCAGGAATCGAACTGAGATCTCTTGGATCCTAGGTCCATGCTCAACCACTGAGCCACGCCGGTTGGGCTGAAGGGACATTTCTAGCAGCAGGGAGTCGTTAGGTTGTTGCAGGGCTCCAGGCAGCTCCTGAAGGGGCACTTGCTGTGCCTTTTCCTGAAGGGCCTTTTTATCCCTCAGAGCTTGGCTTAAATGCACTGCCCAAGGGACCTTCCCCTTTTATCCCACCGCTGCACCCTTCTCCCAGCACCTTGTTAACTGCCTCCTGGTACTTAGTGTTGTTCATACTTTTCTTATTCCTACCCTTCCCCGATTGCTCTGTCGCCCTCCCTAGATTGTAAACTTCAGGGGGGTACGGGCTCTTTCTTGTTCATCTCTGTATCCCCAGTGCTTAGCATTGTAAAATAAACATGCGGAAAGAGCCAATTAATTCATGTAAAGTGAAAGACTGTCATAGGCCTCCATGGGGAGGTGGGAATGAAAAGATGCACACAACCGTTTCTTGCTTTCTGGGCCCTCCTTCTGCTCCTCTGTGTGGGGCCTGTCCTTGTTCTTACCTCAAAAGGTTTCCAGGCTTTCCCTCAGGTTTGCCTGGAGCCTGGTGTTAGGTCTGCAGGCTCCCTGGTGTGTGCTCACTCTGCCTTTTCCCCTTGTGCTTTTCCCTATGTTGGGTGGCCTTTCCCACCTGCTTCCTTCCTGCATGGCATCCATTGTCTGGACTTGGGGCTCTTCTTTCATGAAATAAGATCTGCACATGCCAGCCTGCTCCTCTGAGAGCTTCCAGGGAGCCCATGGCCAGGGGACTCAGTGACATATATATGTTCTCTGAAAAGCCACCTCCCTAGCCTCCACCACTGTTTTAGGCCTCAACCTGGCCTGTCTGGCCCTGATGTTTAAACTGGTGACAAGGCTTGGCTGGCTCCCAGCTCGGGGGTACCTGTTTCCAGAACCTCTTTCCAGTCCTCTGTTCTTTGGCTCTCAGGGCTGAAGGATGCCTCTGACCAATCCTAACTCTGGATTCCTGGCAGTCCCCTTGATCTCTCCTGACCTGCAAGCATCCTGGCACTTCTTTTCCCTCCGAACTCTGGAAGGGTCGCTTGTTTTTCTCTTGGGGTTTGGGAACCTCTACCAATGGGCTATCAGAGGACTGCCCTTTGAGTAGTTCCTCTTTCCAAATTGTCTTCCTCCTATTGGAACGGGGCTATGCCCAAGGACAAAGGCTGTAGCCCTAGTGAAACCTGGGGTCTTCTGGAGTCCCCTTTCAGCCTCACCCTCTTCTGTTGTGTGGTTTCTGTTGGCTCCTGTGCACTCATGGACTTCAGGGCACATATATCATATGGCTCCAGAGCCACCAGTCAGCGGTCCCATGGAGGGGATGTTTCTGCCACCAGAGAGAGCTGACAGGCCTTTTGCTGCAGCCACCTGGGCCACCCTGGGCTGGCCACCCAATTCTCCTTTTCTTCTGAAGCCCTCTTGGCAGCCAGAGGTCCAGCTTGCGTTGCCTTGTGGGGAGATGGTTCTCTCTTCCCAGGGCTGGCTTTCCTCACAGGCAGCTCTGGGTCTCCCAGTGAAATTAAAGAAACTGTGCTTAAAAAAACACAACAACAAAAGAAACCTTAGAAAAGCATATTTGAAAGTGAGATCCATGCAATATACTATGAATTTAATTTTGATCCCTTTGGCTTAAATTAAGATCACTGTTAATTATCTTTTTAAATGATAAAATGCTATTGAAAGAAAATAAAAAATAAAAGATGGTTCTGTTTAAGGGAGAATAAAATAACACTTTGGAGACATGTCGTAATTTTTTGTTCATTAAGTCATTTTAGGTTGCAGTTAAAAACGCTTTTTAATTTTTACATGTAAGTGTTAATTTAATATAGTACTTCCAGGTGAAAGGCACGGTTTTTAGTTCTTCACATATTCACTTACTCAGTTCTCTTTAACCCCAAGAAGTGGGTGCTATTATTATTCTCATTTTACATGGGGAAACCAAGGCACAGGGAGGTTAAACAACCCTCAAGGGCATGTGGCTAGTGAGTGGGAGAGGCAGAAAACGTGGGCATCAGACTCTGGAATCCTCGCAACTGAATTATACTCTCTTCATCTCAGGCCCAGGGTCCTCCCACATGTCACTGTGCCCTGCAGGGGACGGTGGGCAATGTCTGGAGACAATTTTCGTTGCCATAACTGCAGGGAGTTGCATATTGGCATCTAGTGGGTGGAGACTAGGGAAGCTGCTAATCATCCCACAATACACAGGATGGCCCCACGGTAAAGAACCATCCAGCCCCATGTGGCCAGAGTGTAAGCGTAAGAAGCCCTGGCTTAGGCAGTTTCTGTCAAAGTGAAGAACATGGCATGACAATGCTTATTTATTTTTATTTTTTAAAAATATTTTTCAGAATAGGAAAAAATGTTCTGAGCAAATGTTTCAGCTCCTTGGGAAAGCATTTATTCATTCCACGTGCTTACATTTGAGCACCTGCTATTGGCCAGGCACAGGACTGGGTGTCTGAGGGTTCATCTGGGTGCTATAGAGGGTCACCATTTCACTCTCGAGGGCAGGTGTTTTGGAGCTGGGTTCCAGGCTCATTTGGTACGTGCTTATGGGATGACAAGTACTTTTAACATCAGGCAAAGGAAAATTGATCCCATTTGTAAATTTACCTGAAGGAGCATGAGGCACAGCAAAGCCAAGAGCTGGAAGTTTTATATTGTTGCAGCGAGGCCAGGTTATCCTTATTAGGGAGTCAGGGCTTCTCTTTTTGCAAGTAGGATTTGATGGTGGTCATGTACAAACAAGTAGGAGTTAGTCCTTGCTACTGATACTCTTTGCTTGTACAATAGTTTAATCAGTCACCATTCACTGTCATAGGTCTGGTGTCTCCTTGATATGGTGTGTGGCCAGGGAGACTGGCTGACAGAATACAGGCAGCTCAGGAGCTCAGGTCTTCTGCCTCTGCATCCAGTGTCCACACTCTCCCTGCACTGTCCGCTGAGGCTTGACGCAAACAGACCAGAAGCCAGCAGTTCTTGAAATGACCTTGCTTTCGACTCATACAATTTTAGAGCATGTTTGTGCTCTCCATATTTATTCTCTTTAAAATAATTGATAGGGAAGGAATACTCAAATTTTATCATCTAGATGTCAGTGACTAAATATTTTCTACTTTGGCATGGGTATGTCAACTTAGGAAACCCATCCTCCCCTTTGAACGACTCTTGAAACATGGAGCTGTTTCCCTGATTAAGTAATTTCATGTTTTCCTTGATACTTTATTACCTGTTGACAGGTATCTCTAGTCTGTTATTGGCTTATGATTTTAATTATAACTTTTTGTGCTTTTCTCAGATGAATTACTAAATTTGACACAAATCAGACTAGTTTGTATATTTGATTTGTTCAAAATAATAGCTAGCACTTTTGAGGGCTTCCTGTAAACTGTGTTTAACCCTTTGTATACAACATCCTCATAATATTCCCCTGAGATCAGTTCTGAGATTATTTCCATTTTGCAGATGAGGAAGTTGAGGCCCCAAGGTTGAGTAACTTGACCAAAGGCACACAGCTAAGTGACCTAAGCTTTCTTTTTTCTTTTTTTTTTTTTTTTCTTTTTAAAATATATCTTGATTTCAGAGAGAGTAAGGGAGAGGGAGAGAGAAACATCAGTGATGAGAGTCATTGATCGGCTGCCTCCTGCACGCGCCCGACTGGGAATCGAGCCCACAACCCAGGCATGTGCCCTGACCGGGAAACAAACCGAGATCTCCTGGATCCTAGGCCTATGCTCAACCGCTGAGCCACGTCTGGCCGGCCCTAAGCGTTCTTGATGACCTCTCGGGAGCAGTTAGGCATCAGTAGTTAAAAAACACTTTGAAATTTTATCTGTGGAAAGAATAAACATTTAAGAAGATTATAGTTATATCTAAATGATATCTAAATACCAGCATTATTCATTTGACTAAAATTTGTTAAAACAAATATAAAACAAAGCACCTCTCTAGATATTTGGAGAGACTGAGCTAGCTTCCTAAAGTTGACCCACAGCCCGCTCCCCCACGGCCAGAGTGTGGAGGCAGGCTTTCAGGAGGTTTCCACAGGTTGTGTCTTCCAATCTAGGGAATTTGACTTGATGCAAACAGTAACATTTATGTTTTACTTTCCAAATGTCTGGTTTCACTACTCTCTCTCGAGAGTATTATTTGGGAGAGAAAAAATGTAATGCAATGGATTAATTTTTAGAAGTGTAACTTTTACTTACTGTTTTGTGGATTTTTTTTTTTTTTAATAGTCACACTGAGGAGAAGACTCAATGGGAACATCCGAAAACTGGAAAAAGAAAACGAATAGCAGGAGGTTTGTATTTTGAGATCATAAAGCAAAGCACCTTGTATGTAAAGCATTGATTAGATAGGAAAACATCACAGGCAGGTAAGTGACAGGTCACTGTGTCCTGTGATTCCAGGAAGGCCCTCTAATAGTGAACCATCAGGAACTGGACTCGCACTCTGAGGAGCTTATGGGATTTGGCAGAAGGAGGTGATGAGGTCTTGGGGTGGAGTGGTGAGGATGATTTCTTACTGGTCTTAAAAAGTATAAAAATAATAGAGGCCTTTGACTCACAGTTTATTAGATTGTTTTATAGCTACACTGATTATAAACTTGTTCTTGTTTCCTATCATGGAATTAAAGATTCCAGTGTTTGATGGGATTCCGTCAAGATCACTGTGACTTAATGGGTGCTTTTGAAGAAGTGGAATAGAAGTGTAAGAAGGTCTAGTTGAAGAGACAGTATGTGCCTGTGAAAGAAAATGAACTTGACCCATAGTATCATGTAAGAGGCATCATAAATCAGCATACAAGTGTTGTAAAGATACACTCTGTGAATTCACTCACGGGAGAATTCATGATTGGAGCAACCTGTAAGGTTTTCATCAAAAGCAGGAGCTGAAGCTGAGTGGAGAGTTTAAGAATGATCAAAAGTGAAGCAGTTTTATCCTGAGCAAGAGGCAGAAATGTGGAGTCTGGTTGGGACAGTGGGCCCTCTGCAACTGTCACAGTGGGGACACATGACCTAAGTACTGGTCTGGTGGAACAGGCTTCAGGGGGCAGGGCTGGAAGGGCACGGCCCCTCTCCTCCTGACGTGGGGGACCCTGCTTCAGTGCACCCCACCCCTGCCTCATGTGGACCTGGCCGTCTTTCCTGTGTTCCAGATTTGCCGTATGGATGGGAACAAGAAACCGATGAGAATGGACAAGTGTATTTTGTTGAGTAAGTATCTACATAGAAACTATTTTCAGCCATTTTACTTTTTAATGTTTTTCATTATAAAAGTAATATACATTGACTGTAGAAAAATATGACATAGTATATAACTGTAATCTTAACAGGAATAACTACTTTTAACAATTTTTGCATTTATTCATCCAGTCTGTTTTAGATATACACACTTTCTTTAAAAAAACACCCCATGTACATGGAAATGTACTTTTTAAAATGTTTAGTAGCCTGTTTTTTTCCACATAATGTCTTTATCAACATTTTCTCATATCTTTATATATTTCTCAAGAAGATATTTAATGGCTATAGAGTATTATTTTGTCGAGAGAGTGGACATTGGTGTTGTTAAATTCCTATTATTGGGCAACTGTAACTATAAATAATGTTTTGAGCATTCTTGTCTGTAAAACTCTGTTTAGAGTAAATTCCCATAACAAACAACAGTAGTAACCACCTGTCTAGCACATCGTGTGAGCCAGCCATGATTCCAGTCACCTTATACCTGTAGTATTAGCTCATTCAATCCCCACGGTGCCCCAAGGGAGGCAAGCCGCCACCAGGCTGTCCTGGCTAGCCATCTTACCTTCCTGAGCCTGCTGGAGTGGTGTGCTGGCAAATGTTTCACACAGCTCTCTGAGGGGGGAAAGCCCAGATTTGTTTCCACAGTGTAAATACTTTCACCACAGCCTGTTTCAAGCTCCCAAGGTGAAGTCAATGAGGAGTTGGGGAGAGATATATATGCGCGTTGGGCTCTTGCAAGCCTGCAGGAACCAGCTCTAGCACAGCACTGCTTTGTTGTCTGTGTACCATTGGAATAAATATGCTTATCTGGCAGCTGTGGTTATAATTAAAATGAAAGTTGGATTATTCTTGGGTGTTAGTATTTATAGGATAATGATATAGATGTAAAACTATACGTTTACACACACACACACACACACACACACACACTACAAATCATGAAGTCTCCTCTCTTTCTGGAAGTTCTTACTAGTTTTTAAGATATTTTGAGGTTTTTAATCTCAAATCCCAGGAATTTAAAATGTTACGTAAGGAGTAACCTATTAATCTATGTGTCCCAATATATTTTAATATTGTTTCTACAAGATTGATACCAACTGCAAATCAAAATTAGAGTGTTTGTAGGAGGTCTGAGTACAGTTTTAAAAGGAAAATCTTTAGAAATTTAGTAGTTGGTCAGCTTCATATTTACTGTTAAGACTTACTATTTTGAGTTTTCTACTTCTCTACCAACCTTCTTAGGCCCTTGCACAGGGCCAAGAGATTTAATTGAAACCTATTGAGAAGAGTGACTGACAGATGTTATAGCCACATTTACATGAATTAAAAAAAACACCCAAAGCCTTCTTTTGAGATCTGAGAATACAAGGCAATGGTTATTGTATGTTGTAGCGTATTGTGTAGGCAGTTCTGAAGGGAAGGGTAGATGACTGTCTTTCCAGGCGGGGACATAATCCTTTTTGAGGCCAGAAGATAGACTAAATGGACTTCAGATCTTTCTAAGCTTAATAAGCCTTCTTAGTACATGAAAAATAGGGTTTGCCTAGCCTAAGCTATTACATTATCTTACACTTATAAATGCTGTGTTCACTGCTGTGGGTTCACTGCTTTCTTCTTTTCTTTGCAGCCATATAAATAAAAGAACTACATATTTGGACCCAAGATTGGCATTTACTGTGGATGATAACCCTACAAAGCCAACCAACAGGCAGAGATACGATGGTAGCACCACAGCCATGGAAATACTCCAGGGCCGGGACTTCACTGGCAAAGTGGTTGTAGTTACTGGAGCTAATTCAGGAATAGGTAGGCCATTAACTTACAGTTATTATTATTATTATTATTATGACTTCTGGTATGAAATCTTGTATGGTGATTCTCTAATTTAAAAATGTATTTATAGCCTTTTCAGTGTAGTTAAAATCCTGCTCTCTTTTAAAACCCCAGTGTTACCTTGAAAGGCTACATGGGGGCCGACCATGACTTCTCCGAAAGCTGAACACTCAGCAAAAGATCATGGCTATTTTGGTATTCAAGGGTTAGAGACAACAGTCTCCATCTGGTCTCTGTGGTGTACGGACAATTTCCAATTACTTGGGTTGTTCAAACTGAAATTGATTGGTAGTGGAATAATCGTGAACAACAACATACCATGACTTTGAAACTAAGGATCTGTAGGTTTCAGTTAGTCACTGAGAATATCATTTTCCTTTGGGTACAGGATCTTATTTCTTTATAAAGTTGGAAGATTAATCCTTGCCTTAACCTCTACATTAACTCTCTTAATTGCTGGTATTTAACCACAGTGACCATCATGAGGTAGGTGGCTTGAGGGGGTGTCCTTCGCTTAGCATCTTGGGCTGTTAAAGAAACAGCGGCAAATAAAAAATCCATAGGATTTTATTCTTACTTTGTTTTTGTCCATTTACATCAATATCTGAATCTGTAAGAATCAACTGCTTTGAGTAAGGGTATGCATCTTAATATATAGAGACAAAGAATGGGATTGCGTTCAGCTATCTTCTGGCAAGTTCTCTCTGTCTTTGACCACTCCCAGCCCCAGTGCCCCTCCCTTGTTGGTCTTCTCTTTCCTGCCCCTTTGTGCATGTCCTGTACTCTCTCCTTTCTCTATCTGTTTTCATTTTCGGTAGCCTCTTCTTGAACCTCCAGAAACATTCCCTAGCAGCAGCAGCTCGTGCATAGGAGGTGAAAATATGAATTAGAGGGTTAATTATTGCACAGGGTCTACACTAACACACTGTAATCCCAGAGCAGAACTTTTGACTGCACTTGTCTGTGAAGGCAAATGGAGTGTTTTTTGTTTTTTTTAATTGAAAGGGATTTATTTAAAATCAACTCGCAGACCTCAGCCTGGGCTCAAAGTATGTTCAGCACAATATTCTAAATTTGTTTTGGGATGAATTCTATGTAGTCGTCATTGATAATCAAAACTGATGACACTATATTAAAAATAATGGCTAGATCCTTAGCCATCCAAGAGAAAATATGTCGTGTTCATTGCATTGACTACTGTTATGTGAGGGTGTTGACCAATCAATACAGCATAGAATAATTAAGAAAAGATATGGACTTAAATATCTCTTTTTATTTAACACTTAATTAACCAGAAAATTGACTAAGAGATTTCATTCCTTTAATCTTCTGCCTAGACTGTTTTTTCTTTACTTAGATATGTGACTCCTGCTGATTTTCGGCATATTTGTTTATACTTTGTCCGACGTTAGATAACAGACCTTTGGATATGGCTAACTCTGGCGGGTTTGCAACATCAGGCTTATGACATTATAATCCTGGACTAACAGAGTTGGTTCATACAAAGAGCTGTGTTGAGTTGCATATTTAATCATGATCGAAGAGGAAGAGGAGATTCTAAAGTGTGGAGGATTAGTGGGTTGATCAGAATGGACCTCGGACCTCTTTGAGGGAAGCCCCAAACTCTGCGCCTCTTCATGGCTCCCACTACCCCTCGAAGACTTTTCCTTCTTGATGTCCATAATCCATCTTCTGAACACTGCAAGTAGGTGTCTGTGGTACAGACAGATATGGTGGCAAATTGTAAAGCTCAGAATGAAAGAGATGTTGAGGAAGGTCTTAGGGAGACCAGTGCTTTCTAGTCAAACACCCCCTGCTGTTTCCCCAGCGGAGACCCGCCCTCAGAAATTGCCTTTAGTGCTGTCACCTCACCCCAATTCCCCTCTCTACCCTTGAGGAGCATACATCTAGGTGAGTGATGAAGATTTTTATTCTTAATTTTTGAAATAATATCATATTGAACATTCTAGGCAGTCAACTCCTTGCAAATACCTTTCAGTCTGCAGAAGTGGTGGTATCAGGCTTACAGAAAAGAAGCCAAAGATAAGCGTGGGGCTTCTCTTTGCAGCTAAGTTAGCCTTTGTGTCCTGCATGGCTGCCTTGGAAAGTGTCCTTGCCTAAGTAGGCTGTGGCTTCTAGATAAAATCCTTCCATCTGTGCTGTGAAATATGCCAATTTATAAATTGCTATCACCTCTTTATTTCTGCCCATTTCTAGTCAAGTAGCTGAATGCAAAGTGAAGCAGGCATCTTTGCTTCCAATACTTCTGGGCATTCAAGGATCATCTTCCATCAAAGCTTTTGTGGTATTGGTGTTCACTGTGCTTTAGCTACTTGGGGAAGCCCGTGTTCTGTGTGTTACTGCCCATCTTTAACCTTGTATATGTCTGTTATCTGAGGCAGAGTAAGGTGGAACAAAACACAGCAGTATTTATTTTTAGACTGGTGACTCTACGACTGAAAACATAGGTAGCCTAATTTTCTTTGCAAAGGCTGATTTACAAATCTGATATTTCCAGTGATTTAAAAAAAAAATTCCCCACAAGGCACTGCTTAGCTGGAATTGCTATTGTGGAAGCAGATAATCAGGTGGTGAGAGGGGTCACCTTTCCCTGATGAACTCTCAGTTGTACTAGGACACTGTCCCCTTTGAAGTGGCCTCTAAGCAGATTTTGTCTTGTCAGCTTCTTCCTCTGGCTGTAGGTGATATAGGTTCATATTTTGAATTTTTGATATTTGATTTTACTTAGGCAATTGGAAGGACTCCTAATTAATTTAAAAAGATCAAGGTGAGCCCAGCCAGTATGGCTCAATGGTTGAGCATTGACCTATGATCCAGGAGATCAAGGTTCAGTTCCCAGTCAGGGCACATGCCTGGGTTGTGGTCTCAATCCCCTGCAGGGGGTGTGCAGGAGGGAGCTGATCAATGACTTTCATCATTGATGTTTCTATCTCCCTCTCCGTTCCTCTCTCTGAAATCAATAAAATATATTTAAAAAACCCCCAAAAACCCAGGGTGATTCTGGAAGATAGAAGTATTCTTAGGAAATATCAGAATAAAGCATTATGAGTTTATGAAACCTTTGCTTTTACATTTGAAGTTTGTAACCAGGTGCCACTGTTGACTGGATTCAGCTGTGTAGGTTGGGGGTTGTCCAACTATGGCCCATGGGCTGAATCTGACCTGCCGCCTGGTTTGTAAGTCAGGTTTCATTAGAACATGACCATTCCTGTTCACTTCCATTTTGTCTGTGGCTGTTTTTGTGTTACTAGCAGAGGTTAGTAATTATGGCAGAGACCATATGGCCTGCAAAGCCTAAAATATTCACTGCCTGGCTCTTTATAGGAAAAGTTTGTCAGCCCCTTCATTAGGTGATCTATTACCTTTCAAAATAAGATCACCCCAACATTCTCTAAATTTGACACAATTTAGGTAAAACATATTGGGTGTTCCCAGGCCATAGGAAGATTGTGGCAACACATCATATGTAGCTGCTGGGGACATGCCACCAATATCCTGCTTCCCTTGTCTCAAGTCTGTTTCCCCCCCTATTTAGGGAGCTGCAAGCATCAGGATGTTGCCTCCTCAGAAACTAACACTCTTCTCTCCTTGACCTTTGTTTAACCAGCGTTGTGAACCCGAAGACCTTTGTAGATTGAAAGCTGTAGCTTGTGGACCTCTCTGTGTGGAGATCAGCATCTCAGTATCCAGGGGGAAGTCATCTCTTCACCTAAAGCTTCTACTAGACCAAGAGCCTGGACCCCACAGTCCCGAGACTGCTAACCAGTAGAGGCAAGGGAGGAACGCATTTCTGGGGGTGCTCACCATAGCACTGAGCAGGAAGGGGCAGGTGTCTCACGACTGTCTGGAGTTTAGAGTCTTGATGACTCTGGGTAAAAATCAATGGAAATGGCTTCAACATGGTGATCATTAAATACGAACATTGTTGCGAAGTCTCAGGAGACAGAAATTTTTTTGGCTAGGAAATTTCTCATCACGGAAGTTCCCATAGCTTCTTTTCTAGACACAACCTGTAAATCAAGCTAATTTGGCTCTGCAAATAAATAGTCAAGTATAAAATGCTGCCTTCTTGAATCTGAGGACTGACATGTACTCACCAAAGGCAGGATCCTTCTCACGAGGGGTTAATTGAATGCCTAAATGTGGGACAGCGCCTGCCCTGTTCACTATTTCTCCTTACAGGGACAGTTGCTGAAACTCATGCAAATTGTTTCAGTGAGCAGACAGGTTTATGATTATCATGTTTGAGGCATGGAATCCAGATTTTGTCAAACATTCCTTTTAAAACTATTAATTATGAGCAAATTAGATATTTTCAGCCTAACGTTCGTTGGTAATGATGATAAAACTTTCTTCTTAACTGCCAGTCATAAACCAGTAGTGGATAAAACCTGATTAGAGTTTAGTCAGAGTGAAGAGTTCCTTTCACCTTTTGAACCTTCTTAACGGGGCTGCATCAGATGTCGTGGCTTGAAATCTAGAATAGCCTGGGCTGGTTTTGGTTTTTGAGCCAGAGGATCCATTAACAAGAACAAAACTTTTTCCCCCTGAACAAATACAAGCTTGACACCTTGGTATATACCAGTAAAATGTGTTTTAGGACTGACACATCAATTTTCTAATCACCTTCCTAAGGTTTATTACAGGGATTCTGATGTGTGTGCATGTATTTGTGTGTTTATATATATATACAGGGTGTCCCTGAAAAATGTATTCACACTTGGAATAATTATTCATTCCAATGGGTTAAATCTGAAAAGAAGAAAACATCAATTGAGCTATCAGAAAAAAGTGTCTATACATTTTTTGGGGCCACCCTATATATATACACATACTTAAATATCAAAATTTATATATTTTGAGAGGTAAAAAGTCCATGTTCAAGCTGTCAAATTCATGCTTAAGTTTATTCCCTTCAACCAAGGTACCAGATTTCCAGTGCAGGAATCCTG